ATTTCAACTGTCTGCGTGTCTGGGACCGTTTTAGCTGGGAATTACCAAGTGGTTGGACAGGCTAGCACAAAGTTAGGGTGATCTCAGTTTTGCAATATTTGGCTTCTTCATTTGGAGTTTTTGCAGCTTGTTTGTCTTGTGCACCGACCCACTGCGTGTGGAGCCATGCTGTGGCGGCGTCCCATATCAAGTAGAGGAAGATGGGCACGGATGTTAGCCCAGGGCCAGTCTTCCTCAGCAAAAAAGAGGAGGATTGGCATCAGATGTTAGCTCAGGGGCTGATCTGGCTCACAAACAAAAAACAAAAACAAGGAATCTGGCTCTGCAGACCCATTTTCTACCTCTTGTCTGTTGAATGGTGCAAACACATTAAGCAACTCTAGGGACATCCTGCTGACTTTTCTTGGAGCCTAAAACATGGATGCGACAGTTTAACCACCTGCAGGTGTGAGTAATTTGAATGCAAAGTAAAACTACATTCCAAAAGGCCTATTTGGCTCACTGTTTGTTGATAGTAACAAGGTCAGACTATCTTTCTATTAGGATCCTCCCTCCATCGTATTATCAAACATTTGTATGCTAGAATTTGCAAAGTGCTTTTCAACAGTTATGTCTCATTTGCTAATGAAACGACAGCATTAGCAGAGTTCAAGGCTATGAAAATGGATCCTGGAGCCTCCACAAGTTTATTAAGTGCTGTCTATGCACCGCGTGCTTGGCGTTTATAATTATACTGATCCTCATGCAGAGTTAGTGAAAAGTCAGACACCGAACTCGGGTCTCCTGACTTTGTATCTTCTGCTCTCTCCACCACTCTTGGCTTTTGCTTTTCAAGATGTATTCATCAATTAATCAAAAAGGTTTTAAATAGGCAAATCGTGATTTTCTATCTGAGAAATGTAAAAGCATTAACCTATTGCTGAGCTCAGAAAATGTTCCATAGCCAAAGTCTGATTCAGTCATCTGGGAAGAAATAATAAATGCTTCCTTTGGTTCCTGTGAGTCAGGCTACCCTGTGTTGGCCCTAATGAGGACAGAGACACTGCAGGTGAGGCCACTGCAAGATCTGCCCACCTCTCTCTTAGACAGTGTGGGAGATCAAGATTTGACCACCCTGAAATATATCTCTTTACCTTGATTGTTTTCTCTGAGGGACATTTGACCTCCCCCACTAACTGCCTAAAGAATTTGACATGGTGGCTCCTTCCTGGAACAGATCTTCTATCATGATGGCTATAAAGATAATATAGGATGGAGGTTACAATAGCAAAGGCACCAAGCCTCTTTTATCAAAAACTCTGTCTCTCCCTGACCACATTATCTATAGATGACCCTGAAAAGAATTGTCCTCCTGCCCTCTGAAGTCCCAGGCCACTACCCACCCCCAACACGTTCCTCGCCTTTAGGTGCAATACTTATGCAAGCAGCTTAGACAGAGGGACGAGTTGCTCATTTCTGAGTTTCTCCCATGTATACATGTTATTAAACTTGGTATTATTTTCTCCTGCTAACCTGTCTTGTTAATTATTTGGCCAGCCATACGAACCTTAAAGAAAAGGGCAGAGGGAGATTCTCTTCCCCCGACAACAGCAAGAGCAATAAATGGTCCTCTTTGAAAACCTGGGATTGGTGTAGACAGGGAACCCTTAGGGAAGGTGTTACGGAATGATCGCTTATGAAATGTCTGATTCTGCAAAAAGTGTTTATGGAGGTCCAGCTCAAATCTTCCTCTCAAAGGAAGCAGCCTTAAATGCAAAAAGTGCTGGTCCTCATGGCGTTTAGGACTGTTGCGTTTTTATCCTTCCATTCTTTAATCACAGATAAGCCCAAGGGACCTGCAAGTTTGTGTCCTAATCTGTCTGTGCCAAATAAGCTCCTGTTTGAACTTCACAAGCACAGTAGTCCCCCCTATCCATGGGGGATACGATCCAAGACCCCCAGGGGATGCCTGAAACCACGGATAGTGCCAAACTCTATATAGACTGTTTTTTCCTATACATACATACCTATGATAAAGTTTAATTTATAATCTAAGCACAGTAAGAGATTAACGGTAATAACTAATAATAAAGTTGGCCTGGGGCCACTATTAAGTAAAATAAGAGTTAAGCACTGCAGTACTGTGACAGTCGATCTGATAACCCAGAAGGCTGCTAAATGACTAACAGGCGGGTAGCGTATGCAGCGTGGATATACCGGACCAAGGGATGATTCATGTCCCAGGCGGAACCACGGAGATTTCATCACACTCAGAATGGCTCACAATTCAAAACTTATGAATTATTTATTTCTAGAATTTTCCATTTAATATTTTTGGCCATGGTCGACTCCGGGTAACTGAAACTGGAAAGCAAAACCTTGGATAAGGGGAGAACTACTATAATCAGTTGGGATTTAATTAGATGATTAGATGGTGATAGTAGATGATTAGCATTAAGTGACTAGTATTTAAATTTATCTGCTTCTTGTGTAGGTTCTGAAACCGGGGCTCGAGGAGGACTTGGTAATAAAATGTTGATTTACACGGTTGTTTCCACCTTCCTCTCCTCCCGTCCCTTGGTGGTTTTTCATTTTCCATGATTGTGTAGCTGTGTGTGCGTGTTTACTTCTCGGTGGTGGCCTGTGTTGGGCTAGCTCTGCTGACCCGGGAGAGGGTCATGGTTTGATTGGCTGCCGAATCTTAGCTCTGATCTCTTTTCCAGTCTGAGGCTTGCCCCACCCCCAGTGCCTGTCTTGGATAGGAATGCTTTTGGTCACAAGAGTAACAGGCTGGAGAGTGTGAGAGAGTAGATTAGCTGGGAGGGGTCACCACCACCAGAAAGAAAACCCAGGAAGTGAAGTTCACTTATCAGATGGAGGCCTTCATGTTTCCACATTTGATTGCACTCTTGTACTCTCCTCATCTAATGGTTGCACCTTATAAGGAGGAAGAGGCATCCTCAGAAACAGACCAACTGGTAGGTATGGCACTTCAAGGGAGCGTGAAGCCACCACCCTGTTGTTAATCTCTCCAAACTTCCCCTGGTGTTAGATCCTCTGCTTGCCTTCAAGTGCTGGAGGGGAAAACTTCTGTTGAGATGCTGTTGTTGTGCTCCTTAAAGTGCTCAATTTAGTAGGTTAGATCTTTGAGTTTCTGATTTTATGGCTGCAAACTTTTCCCTGTCTCTCTAGATGCATATCACAGTTGAACATTTTACATGTTTTTGGCTCTGAATGGTAGTGACTGGTTATCAAAATTTATAAATGCTCTGTGTATGTTTTCCTTGTTCTAGTCACTAAGTGTTGGGAATAAGCATTTACATACTAATCAGAGAATGTAACAGTTTCTAGCTAGGGGAGGAAGTTGGTTGATGCCTTCTGACAACTAGAACTCCACAGAAAAAGATAGGATATTTCTTAAAAAAACTTGGAGCTTGGCATGTATTTGTGAATTTACTTACATTTACAGCATTTGTAAGCATTAACTTAAAAAAACCCATTTGAGTTCATATATAGCCTAAAAGAACCTAATGGAAAACTTCTTTTGGTAAATACTTTAAAAAAGAGAATTTGCATAAATCGAAGTTCTAATTTTTTTTAAACTTGCATAATCCAGGAATTGACAAGTTTTGTGGCACGTTATTTTAAGGGTGTGGACAATTTATAATATCTGTGTGTTTACCTTTTTATGTCCTAAAAGGATATTAACAATTCTACCTTTTCAAGGTCCTTTGAGATTGAGGGTGAGTTCTCCAGAAATTTGGAAAATGTCAAGAGTAAGGCACATTTTAGGGCTTCAGTTTCAAGCAGTGAGCACGTAAAGAGCTCTACGTGCTGTTCAGCATGTGACTAAGATGGGAGGAGATGTAGGGCTGTAGAGATGCCCTAGGAGCCACTGTCAGACTATTACCGGGTAAGGGCCCGCTGCCTGACTCGCATAGAAGCCAACACTATGGCACCAGCTTTTGTGAAAAGAAAAGGCTTTATTGCGAGTTTGACTGGGAAGGAGACAGGAGGCAAGGCTCTCAAATCTGTCTCCTTGGTCCAGGGTTTGGGGTAAAACTTTAAGAGATTAGGGAGGGCAGACTGGTATGCAGAAGTGCTGGCAGGATGAGTTTTAATTGGCAGGACTCCAAACAAGACCATTTATGGTAAGGTATGGAAAGGGGCTCTAACACCAGATCTTCCTGGACAACAGACCCTTCGCTTCTGGAAAGGGTCTGTCTTTTGAGTTCCAGTCATGTCCTGGTCCTTTTGGTCCCGTTGGGGGTGGGGTGGGGAATCTTTGGTTCCAGGTGTTATTTCAGGTCAAAATTTTCTCCTCTGCGCATGCTCCAGCTATGTGACTTGCAGTTTTGGCTCGCTGCCCCTGAAAATCAACTTTAACATTCTGTTCTTGATAAGATGGGGTCAGTTTAAACTCATCCTGTGGTTACAAGACTAGCTGGCCAAGAAGGGGTCATTTCCCCTGTTTCTCAAGTGGTCCACTCGGACCCAGGTCCCCAAAGTTCCACTGAAGCACATTGATCCCATATCCCAGACTTTAGGTCCTCCTAGCAACTTCTCAGGTGAATCTTTTCCATTGGCTCTTGGTAAATGTTGTGGTTAACACCAACTAACCTTAACCTAACCTAAGGATGATCTCCTGCTTAACCAAATAAGATGGCATTGAATTTTTTTGTCCATTATCCTTCATGCCATTGCTTCCTACCGTAAACATGATAAATTGATCATTTTGATGGCAATTTTGATTCTCCTTGTATATTTATTCAGAAAACATTAAGTACTTAATATATATTGGGCACACGCATATGTTAATATGTATATATTACATGTACATTAGCTATAGGGTGAACTAGACCCAAGCAGAGACTCTCCACATTGCTGCTAACTAGTCAAATGTGACCTCTGAGGTCCCTTGCAAGGCTAATATTTTGCGATACTATCTACCTACTTCTCATGAGCCACATATAACACCATCCACATCTCTATCTGAGGCTTCCTTTCTGCTTGTTTTTCAGAAATGTGAAAATAAAAACTGGAGAGTGGTTCTTTGAGGAACGAGCCAAGAAATTTCCAACTGAAGGTAAGTCCTCTTACATTTTTTACTAAAGTAAAATAATATATTCCCAGTTTTAAAATATTTGGTGTTAAGACTTTTGAATATAAAAAACTGTGCAGAGCGTGGTAGACAGGCCTGTAGCTCCCATCCCCTTGTTCCGTTTTTTATGCTTTCCTGCCTCTGCCCCTCGACTCAAGCCGTTCACAGTCTTTGCTTGGAGTGCCTCCCTCTCTATGCCCACTTCTACCTGCTGAAATCTGCTTGTTGGCTTTGAAGTTTCCCTGACTTCCTGCTCTGGCAGTGATGTTTTCCTCCTCCAAGACACCAGCAGCTCTGGCTTGTACATCTCTTCTAGAATTGTTGAAAGTGCCTTCTATTGTATCATCATTTCTGCACTTCTCTTTCTCTCCACAAGCAGCAACTGGGCTTTTAAAGTCTTGTTAGTCCCTTGCAGCACCAAGCACAAAACCTTGTTCATGATACTTGATGAAAATGATTGAATGGAGGACTGACCAGCACAGTGTGCGGATACCATTGGAATGTAGCAGATGTTGGTGATTATGAAGTGAGCACATGTCTGATTATATGCGTGGAGGTGTGTATGTGGTCTCTGTACACGAATGTCTTATGAAGTATTTGCCAAGTTGATGTAACAATGTAGTTGGTAGCTAGGACTCGAAACCATGGAGAGAACTGATTGTGCTTTGGTTACAGAGGGGCCATGTCAGAGGATGTGAGACGTACGGATAAGAGAATAACTTATCAGACAAAGACACACACATGTGTCATCAAAATAAAGTGGAGCCAGCACGCTCTGTGAATCACATCTTTCCACAGTGGGGATATGGGTGGCACCCTCCTCTGTGACGTGTGACAGCGGGCACTGCACGCAAGGGAGCCTAGACTGACCCAGAGGGAATGGGGTGGCTGGAAACATTTTCCTTTTCTGGGAAAAGTCACAGTTTGAGGTAAAGAAATAAGCTTTTTGGCCTCAACCAAAAATGTGTTGGCAAGTAAAGGAAGCCATTGGTTTAAGGGTTGTCACTCAGCTTTTATAAAAGGCACTGTCAACCGAGGTCCCTATTCAGTCGGCATTAGAGCCTCCCCTGGATTATACTCCTGACCCTTCTTACACAAGAAGAAGTGATGTTTCTGCCAAGTTCATTAGAAATCTGGAGGGAAATATAATACTAATGGGAGGGCCGGCCTCCCATTAGTGGTTAAGCGCGCGTGCTCGGCTGCTGGCGACCAGGGTTCAGATCCCGGGCGCGCACCGACGCACCGCTTCTCCGGCCATGCTGAGGCCGCGTCCCACATACAGCAACTAGAAGGCTGTGCAACTATGACATACAACTATCTACTGGGGCTTTGGGGGAAAAAATAATTAAATAAAAATAAAAAAAAAATAAATAATGGGAGTGCTCAAGAAGAGTGTAGCCAGTGTATATGATTTCATCCAGGCCAGTGTTTCTCAACCCTCTTTAACTCCTTCCTTATCCTGCAATCAGTTAGACATCCACATTTATTTTCTTCTAATTTTTGTGGTTTTATTTACATTTAACTCTTCACAATGTGTCAGGAGGCCAGATCTAATTTTATCTTTTTCTTCTGATCATCAATTTTCCCAGTACCATCTGTTACCTAACCTGTCCCTTTCCCATTGGTTTGTAATCCAGGGCCATTGATTTGCACAGCTTCGGGGCACCGCTCGCCTGGTCCCCCAGCCCTGAGCTCCACGGGGTTCACCCACAGAGACCCCACATGAATGCTGCCCCTTCACCTGCAACTCTTGGTGGTTCTGTCCTAACCAGATTTTGAATTCTTTGAGGGTAGGAGCTATAAGTAAATGAATGAGTAAGTGAATGAATGAAGTAAGGAAAGAGCTGGTTGGAGACAAAAGGCGAAGTTATATGTAGTAGTGCCTGTTGTCAGAGCTCAGCACCGAGTAGGCACCTAAAAATGAAAAGTTAGAGATCTTTTCCTTTTTGGCATCCAGAAACCTAGAGCTAAATGTGATGTCCATTTGAAGGAATTCCGGGAATCATTATCCCCTCTGTCACCAATTTCCTTTCTATTGCTTTCACTTATCTCTATTTTAATGGTCCTATTGGATACATGCCATTTAAGATAAATGCTCCCCAAATTTCCTTGAAAGTAGACAAGATATAAGTAATAATCCAATGAAGAATAATAGACATTAATTGTGACAGTTTGTTGTGCTAATTTTCCAACCATTAAAAGGATTTAAAAACAAGAAAAAGTGAACCCCAAGTTTTCCTTTTTCAGGGAGATGGTACAAAAAAATATTTTAAATATTTTGCTTTCCTTAAAAGTTTTTTTTTTTCTGATTCTACTTTTTTTCCTCTAAGATTTTATAATTCACTATTTAGTGTTGTTGTCTTAAAATACTTCCTTATGTGCCATAGTCGAGGTTCATCTGTGGTGCCTTAGAATGATCAAAACGTGCAGACCTCCGTAGGTGTCCAGCTGTCTTTAGAGAGCTCCCAGCCATTCTGGTTGTCGCCTCCCGCCCCTCCACCCTCAGGAAGTTGGTACTCTCTGTGCAGAGGGTTTTTCCTGTGGCTTTTGGGAACCCGGCTCCAGGATCAGCTGTGAACTATTTCAAATTCAACATTCCTGATTCAGCGGGACCAGGTGGAGCCCGAGAGTATATATGTAACAAGTTCCCAAACAATTCTTTTTATGCACTTTAGGTTTGACAGTCACTGGTAAAGCAGAAAATTTAATAAACAGTTATGATGGAAATTTTCTAGATCATTAATAACTAGAAAACTGAAACTGAAAACTTGATCTTTACTTATTCTTTTGGCATCTGCTAAACATATAAAGATAGTGCCCTCTCCTGGTTCCTTGTTGTAAATGCACATATTTTACTTTTTTTTTTTCCCCCCACAACCATAGCATTTTATTGCTTGATATTCAAGATTAAAATCAGAAAGATGACAGTACTAATACTTTTAATACTAATACTTTTTCAAGTTTAAAAATGGTTAAGTGTAATATATAAACAATCGACTGTGATTGTCATCTGTTGTTATTAATTGGGGAAATAAAATAATTCTGGAAGGCAGCACCTTGACATAGCCGCTGATAATAGTCTCAATAATCCATTATATAACTAACCAGGACGATACTATGTCTAATAATTATGAAGAAAAATAACTTTTATCTCCCTCTCCCAGTAGTAAATGTGATTTAGTTCTTCATGTGACTTTTTCAGAGTTTTGTTCTGTGGTCCATCTGATCACAAGGATATCAGGGCAGCATCCGACGGGCTGTGTGGCCTCAAAAGACTCAGCCTTGTGAATTAAAAGAAGTAGGTACCCAGTAAATATGTAGGGGCTTTATTGCCTCTCTTCTCGTCAGCTCAGTAAAGATCTCTCACCCTGCAGTTCAACAGATGGAGTCTACAAGGAAGATGCCGTAAAGCTTTCTGTAAATTACAAATCAGTAACGCTTTCTGTAAGTTATGAATCGAGTGCCTAGTGCTTACTTGCACAAGAGAGTGTCTTTATGAAAATCATGTTTATTTCCCAGATATAAAATTTTATATATGCTTTTGTCTTATTTTAAAGAAAATATGGCATTTTACTCTGCTGAATATTTTCTCCATGCTACTCTCCTTAAGAGGAAAGACAAAATAAACACAAACCCACAGAAGGGAGTGTGTGCCCTAGAAGTCAGTTCCTGGCTTGTCGTGTCCCTGAGAGATTTTTAGACCAGTCCATTTAAACTGGTTAGAACAAAGACTATCAAGTCAAGAGTTTATGATTACTGTGGTGAAGGAAGACCTTGACCTTCAAACTTTTTCTCTTCACACCGTGTTTCTAGGTAATACTCTTCTGGAGGCAGGTTCTTGAGTTTAGTCATCTTTGATTTCATGATACGTTTGGCTTTGTTCCTAGTAGCAACTCAAAAATTGAATTGCTTAGACTGGCCAGGGTGCTATGAAGATATCAATTCAACCCAGATATATATTTTTTTCTCTCAACTATCTCACCGGGAGACTAGAGGTTCCCTGCTGCTCTCTGAGCCACAGCATTCCGACCAGGACCATTTCTGTGTCCCCACCTCTCCCACCGTCCTCTGTGCCCTGTCCAACACCCCTTGATGATAAGGTTGTCTTAGGCAACCAACATCTTTGGTCCTGAATTGTTATGACCACCGCACTATCCACTTGCTTCTTTTGGGTTTTGATCCATCGCTTTTAGCCTAGAGGGGGAACCATGATTAAGTAGGCTAGTTACTAGGATAGTCTATATTTCATTTTACTTAATACCCCTTGCTCTACTGGGGGTTGGCAAACTATAGTACACAGGCTGATTCTGGCCCACCACCTGTTTTTGTCAATAAAGTTTTATTGGAACACAGTCATGCTCACTTCTGTCTGTGGTCACTTTTGCAATACAGTGGTTGAATGCATAGCTGCAACAGAGATTGTATGGCTGGCAAAGTCTAAAATTTTCTACCTGACCCTTTGCTGCCTGCTTCTCTAGATGATCAGCAGATAAAATACAACAATGTTTTGATGACCATCATTATTTTTCCTATTTAAATGAACAGATTTGGAAACCAAGGTAAAATAATTGAACTGAATAGGATTTCTGAATTAAAATTCATGTGTTCATCTGTTTAGACCAAATTACTGATTAGGGTAGTTTCCAGGGATATCTTAACAATTGGGTGTTAAACTAGCTCTTCATAGAATAAATTTGTTAAAAGATAAGACACGTATACTTAAATAAGAAATCATTTTGAATTTAAGAACTCTATGTGCATTTTTTTTATTGTGGTAAAATATACCTAATATAAATTTACCATTTTAACCATTTTTAAGTATACAGTTTAGTAGCATTAAGTAAATTCACATCATTCTGCAATCATCACCACCATCCATTTCCAGGACTTTTTCATCTTGCTAAACTGAAACTCTGTACCCATTAAATAATAACTCCTCATTACCCTTCCCACTCCCAGCCTCTGACAACCACCCTTCTACTTGT